GTGCTGAGTTCTGAAGCCAGGGTATAAAGTGCTAAATGAAGAGGAAGTGAAATAATATGTGTGGGCAAATGTTTTTTAAAAGGGAACCTTAATTTAGTATGATTTTCTGTTCTGAAATCAGGGGTTGGCAAAGGTTTTCTCACCGGGCCAGATACTAATACCCCCAGGTTCTGTGGGCTGTTTGGTCTTTGCCACTGTGTTGTGGAAGCAGCCACAGTGGTAGTCTGCTGATGTACTAGATGCTGGTGAAGCACACAGCACATTACTGCATTTAATTCTCATGACAAATCTATGAGTAATATTGCCCCAATTCTGCAGGCAGACACCTGGGCTCAAGGCCCGTACGACCTGCCTGTGGCCACAGTCAGTGCCTGGAGCTGGGGTCTGAACTTAGCTCTGAATCCAGAGCCTGAACTACATACATTCCACTGTCCGCTGCTCTTCAGATTACAGGAGCTTGTTTACGGAGGGACACATGCCTCACAATCATTGGTTCAGCTGTTTGTGTCATTAGAAGGTAGAGGAATGGGCCTTTGGTTGGGATGGCTGGCTCAGAAATAGGATGTCTTCTGACTTTAGACATAAACATGACAGTAGAGATGGTTGAGGAAAAAACTGAGGCCTAATTACAAAGAAATGCCTGTGACAGTTAAACACAAACATGCAGGAAAGGAGGTAAACAAGGACAACATTCTCACCGTGGGAACCCAAACCTGGACGGATAAAGGAAAGGCTGTGAAAGAGGCAGGTGACTGCTGTTCTAGACAAGCCGAATGCCACCAGCTTTGGAGGGGCCAGAGGAAGTGGACACAGGCCCATGAGAGGTTACCTGCCCACATGCTCCTTCATTTCCTTGACCTTCTCACCTCCCATGTATGTTCCTATCACCTCAGCACCCACTCAAGGGGACACACTATGACTAAAAAAATCAGCTACTCCTGTGGTTTCCTGTATTACTGCCTAAAGCTCCATTTCAGGCATTCTACACTCTCCTCTCTGGCACCTCACTTCCTGGAACATACCCGGGTCAGAAGTCCCTGAAGCCCACCAGCATCTCCAGTTTCCTTGGGGTGAGCCTCCTGCGCTCACATGCAGTCCATGGTGTGTGCTCTCTCTCTCTTAAGGGCACGGGGTCATGTTCGCTGATCTGCCACACTCACCTGGTAGAACCCCAAGTCTGACTGAACCCAGCTCTCTGCTTATTCATACCTGCACCCAGGCAGCTGAAGGTCAGTGCTGAGTAATCTCACTGGAAATTTACGTTGACAAAACGCTGAGACCCTGCACCGTGCTACCCTGGCTAACTTACTGTCTGGGTCTCTGAGCTGACTATTATTTCCCTCCACTCGAGGCCACCCAGGGCCCCACTTTGCCGGGTTTAGGGCCTAGTTCTCAGCCCCATCTGACCTGATCGCCAGGAAGTGCCCGAGTCTCCCACTCCTCCTTGGAGCACCCCCCCATTGGCTGCTGGGACACCCACGTGCCTATGCCTTCCCACCTCACTGCCCTCCCTTCAATCTCTTCCAGACCCCAGAGCTGGGGTGTTCCAGGGCTCAGCCTCAGTCTCCTCTTCTTTTCATCTCATTTCCAGGTTAGAGTTTCTCAGCACGACTGACATTCTGGGCCAAGGTCATTCTTTGATGTGGGGGCTGGCCAGGGCACTGCAGGGTTTTTGACAGCACCCCCGTTCTCTACCAGGGGGCCAGTAGCATTCTTCTCTACCTGAACTGCAGCAATCAGTATTGTATATCCTGACATTGTCAAATGTCCCCTGGAAGAAAATCTGTCCTGGTTGAGAACAACTGCCATAGATGAGCTCAGTAGCCCTGTAGCTTCAAATGCCACCTAGGAGCTGAGGAGCCTCAAATAGGTGCCCCAAACTCCAGACCTGTCTCCTCCACCTCTTTATTTGGAGGAAGTATTTATATGTCTTTACTGTCTGCCTCCACAATAGACTATAACCTCCAGGGTTTTCATATTCACTACTTACTCATAGTGTCTACAAAAGTGGAGGGCATACAGTAGTTGCTCAAAATATATTTTGCTGGTTAAAGAACTAAACACTTGGCGCTCCTCTCCCTGAGGTCGCCCACACTTTCTAAGTGTATAACCTTTTAATCTTAAACTCTTTCTCTCCAACCTTTCAGGGCGCTCCTCTCTCTCTAAGGTCACCTGCACTTTCTCTCTAAGTAACTTTAAATAAAACTTTTATTCTGCTTCAAAAAACAAACAAACAAGTAAATAAAGAAAGAGATAAACACTTAACATAGATTAATCCATTCCACGCAGTTAAGTCAGTAATGGGGCAATTAGGCAGATAATTTTAAACACATCAAGGTATCTTTTAAAAATATTTTTCTTATTTAATTTCAAGATAAAAGGAATGCCTTATTTTTACATAAGTTTGTAAGCAGTACTAATCCTACCCATTAAATTTTTGTTAAAATTTGCAATAGTCTTGGAAATTACAACACTGGAGTTCCTATTCTTTCTATTCTCTTGCTCTACTCCACATTCTTTTCATGCTTAATTTCAACTTGTAGCTGCAAACATATATAAATATACATTCACATCTATTTCTTTATTTCAAATAATAATTGTGCCTTTTGATTATCATGATGCCAGTTGGCTACCAGTTTTTAACATTCCTTCAGCTGTTTATCCTCTTGGTCTAATGTATGCTGTATTTGAAAGAGAGTAGAGGGTAAAATTCTCCAAGAAGGTCTGAATTCTGCTATGCTTAAAAAACTGCTATATTTAATAACATTTACAATAGCTATATTTATGAAAGAGTTGTATAGTTTTTCACTTTTTGCTCCTTCTCCACGTGAAGTGATACCCATGCGAAGCTTGTCCTCGCCCTGGCTTAGCTCTGCACGGAGCGCCGCAAAGAGGCACACGCACCCTGTGATCAGTTCTCATGGAAGACGGTAACTTCCAACATTGTTTTTATTTTATTTTATTTTGGTCCAGGTGGTATCTAGATATTTTTTCCACGAATCTCCTCGATTTATTTACTTACATGGGTGTTTAATCACTAAGCACACAGACCTTTGTGTATGTATGTCTTTGAGCAAATTTCCTTAGGTTCCTTTATCAATTCTTTCTTCTTTGAATATAATTGAATGATGCCTTAATGATTAGTGCCTGCTGTGTGTGATGGTTTCCTAAAACCCAGAAGTAACGGACCAGAGGTATTAAACACGTATGTGTAACACAGGAACCCAACCCAAATCCAATTAGTTCTATGGATGTTAAAAATTTGCTTTTTATACACTTATCTGTGACTTTGAACCTTTTTTTTTTGCCTTTAAACAAACTGTGGTGAAATATATATAACATAAAATTTACCATCTTAACCACTTTTAAACATAAATGACATTTTTAAGTTTAAATGACATCTTTCTTACACATTTTCATCAGTAGAGTTGATCATGGTATTCTGTAAAATAAAGTATCAAAATGTATGGGTTTCAGTATTAGTTTTTCAATCATTGCTGATTTCATACAAATTCACAAAAAAGAAGCTGCTAGAGGCATCTTTTACATGAACAACATAGCACAATAGGCTGAGTTGGGGTATATATTTGGGGCTTATGTTAAATACTTGACAAAATCTTAAAAATCATAATTTTTTTCTGTTTCACATCTCATCATTTATCAACCAATAAAATGTTTCCAAAAAGAGTTTTAAAGTATTAACTTTTCTTTCTACAACACATTTTTTTTGCTTAGATAATTCTAAATATTAGTTTCAAGGAGAGATTTAAATCATATCAAGACACAAATGGAACAGGATTTGATCAATAAATTTCAGTAAGTTTAAAAATAAACATATTCTCACAAATTTCAATATAAATGAAGATAAGGTGTCTTGATGACTCACAGACTGGGCTGCTGAAGAACTTAAAAGTTATAAATATTTTTAAATATAAGCATGATTTGGTTAGCAAAGAATTTTCAAAACACAAAAATCTTACCCATTTCTGCAATAAAACTTTAAAAAGTAGACTACAGCAGCCATGTTTTAGAACTGGAAGAAAGAACTACTCAGCTAATCAAATAGGCAGACCCACTTGGCCCTCAAGAGGTCGCCTTGGGCACCTTGCCCCCCAGCAGTGTGTGGGGGACTCAGCCGCAAGGACACCGCTGCATCCTGGCTGAGACACCTGCAGCCTGTCTTTCCCATAGAGTGGATTTCCAAGAAACAGTCATCTGGCTCCCTACACCCTGAAATGTTCAGAGAATGGGGCTTAGCTGGACTTCCAGCAGAAATGAGGTTAAGCAGAAACTCCTTTCAGTGTGAACACTTTCTAAAGTGTTTTAGTCTAATTGTGGTGGTAGTTGAAAACGTGGTGGTTTGCAGGCAATCAGGTCGGGCGTCACTGATGGCATGGCTGCCCTGGAGAGTCTGTCTTTACAGCAGATCTAGTCAAAGGAACTTGCTCTGCACAGAGGAGGGACAGAGTGTCCCTTTAAGAACAAAAGCAAAACAAAACAAAATGAAAACCCTCAAACTGCAGCACAGTGAACACTGTTGAGCTTCTCCCTGATGAATAAGGATCAGCAAGAACCTCTGGGCCACATTCTAGGCTCCAGTTCTCTGTGTGTCCCGTTTGGTCTAGCAAGGGCAGGATGGGCAGATGCTGGTGGCAGGCAGAACCCTGTTCTCCCTTCACCAGGTGCTGGGCCCTAGGGTCATCATATGCACGTGCCGGCTCCCCTGGATGCAGCACCCACCTCACTGAGGATCTGGCCAAACTGTCACACAGTGGGGAGTAAAGTCCAAAGTAAACAACAATCCCTCGATCTGCATTAGCAGTTACCCCAGCACAGTAATCTGCTGGGGGTCAGGGCCACTGCAGCGCATGCAGGGTGGCCACTGACACCAGCAGGAGACTGGAATGCCCCCGAGACGCACAGATGCCCCTACCGTGTACAGAGACCCAAGAATGAGCCCCATTCCAGTGAGGATAAACATTTGGCTCTTCCAGACCTACCTTCACATTGAATGTTATTTCCTCCATGACGTACACACGCTCAGGAAATGCTTTGGCCACCTCCTCCACACTGTTGAAATATTGCACTGGCTCCTTTATATCTCGGTCTTGTTCCAGCAGCTTGAATTGCCCTAAAGTGCGTGGTAAACAGAAGAGACATGAGATGCTTGCGCTGGACAGCTGTCACCGTGGCGGCAGCTCCCCCTTCCCTACTCCCACTTGGCTTCATCCAAAGCTTCTGATCCTTACCAGGGGGAAAAAGCTACCCCGCAGAAGGGTTTCTTCAACTAGCATATGTATTTTTTTTTTTTTTAGAGGGCATCTCTCATATTTATTGATCAAATGGTTGTTAACAACAATAAAATTCAGTATAGGGGGGTCAATGCTCAATGTACAATCATTAATCCATCTCAAGCCTAACTCTCGTCAGTCTCCAATCTTCTGAAGCATAACGAACAAGTTCTTACATGGTGAACGAATTCTTACATAGTGAATAAATTCTTACATGGTGAACAGTACAAGGGCATTCATCACAGAAACTTTCGGTTTTGATCACGCATTATGACCTATAAACAATCAGGTCAAATATGAATATTCGTTTGATTTTTGTACTTGATTTATATGTTGATCCCACATTTCTCCTATTATTATTATTATTTTTATTTTTAATAAAATGCTGAAGTGGTAGGTAGATGCAAGATAAAGGTAGAAAACATAGTTTAGTGCTGTAAGAAGGCAAATGTAGATGATCAGATGATCAGGTGTGTGCCTATGGACTAAGTATTAATCCAGGCTAGACAAGGGCAGCAAGACATCCACGGATGCAGAAGATTTCTCTCAAAGCAGGGGGGGTGAGGTTCTGAGCCTCACCTCTGTTGATCCCCAAATTCTCACCTGATGGCCCCCCTGCGACTGTGCCTGTCTTAGGTTGTTCCTCCCTTGAGGAATCTTACCCGTCTCTGGCTAACCAGTCATCTTCCGGGGCCATACAGGGAAATGTAAAGTTGGTAAGTGAGAGAGAAGCCATATTGTTTGCAAAGGTTAGCTTTTTACTTCTTTGCAGATTTATGCCCTGTGGCTTCTATGCCCAGCACTTGTCTTGAGGTATCTTTACCACCTGGAGGAATTATGATACTCGGTAAATTCGATATGAGGCATGAATTCTATTTAAGGGTTAGCATATGTATTTTAAAAGCCTAAAAACTAAGACCTATGTTTTCCTTTTTTTGTTTCCATTCAGAGTTTATTACCAGAGGACCAAAATCAGACTAAATGGATGCTTATTTGTAACCTGATCTCAAAGTGAAAATTGGCTGTCTTGTAAATGATTGCTCATTTTGTTTTTAACAGTAAGTCGACTGCCTTCTCACTTAGTTGTAACAATGTCTGCACGTATTATATTCCAAAACGAAGGCTCAGTGGTCTGGGGGAACTAATTCTTTAAACTTAGCATTTAAAAGTTTTGCAAGTAGGATAAAACAACAGAGTGGACTCTTGGCTTTCGCGGGATCGATGCCCTGGCTTCCATGGCATGTGCGCAGCGCTGAGGGCCTGGGAGCTGCCGGGACATGCGACGCTGCTGAGCTTGGGACCTGTGTGGAGCAGGGCACGGGGGCAGGCGAGCAGGCCTCCGCCCGGAGCGGGGTCCTGGGAGCCCTTGGCACCTGGTGCCACACACAGCTTCCTTCCTCGTTTTCACTGCTGTGTGTGAGATTCGTAGGAGTGGAATATGCTACCGTGCTTCCCCCAAACGGGATTTCTGAAGAACTTGGAACATCATCCCCCAAATGCCAGGGATCTGTCATGCTCATTATATATTTTCAATGTTTGTGAAACTACTGGTACATGCTGGAGGAGTTGGTTTTAGTAGAGTAAAAGACCCTACGCAATCAAGTTAAACACATATGATTTCTTAGTAGTCACTTCCGAAGCTCTTTACAGTGTAACACTTGAGAAACCTGAAGGAAAATTACAAGCTGTTGTGAGGCAGATCTCTTCAGCATGTCTGTGGGCATCGGTTAGAAATAAGGAAACTTCCATTTATACTCCCAACCCATGTTTTTAAGCATCTCTTAGGTGGAGGCATTATCCGAGATGCTGGAGATAAATCAATAGATAGACCAGATATAATTCTCTGTCCTCTAGAGTCTTACATGGTAGGGGGAGATGGATGGTGAATGTGAAAACGAGCGGAGTACACACTATGTCAGCGGTGAAGAGGTGCTACTTAGCTACTGCACATGGGGCACAGAGAGCCCAGGAGGCGGGAGAAGGCAGGGCTCAGGCGGTGGCTTCTCACAGAGCTGGGGGTTGATTTCTTAGAATTCAAGAGGCAACAGCCGGCACAAAGACCCACAGGTGGGTGGTGGGTGTCTGCCCAGTGTGCTGCCAGTGTGGCTGGAGTGGGCGATGAAAGGATAAGAAGGAGCTGAAGGTCAGAGAAACACCGTGTGGTCAGACTGGAGCTCTTCGTCTGAATGGGTGGTGAGCCAGCAGGGAATGAGTGTGGAAGATGCCATGGAAGGACCGCTTTGGTCCTCCTGCTGAGAACAGGATATAAACGTGCAGAGGCAGAGACACCAGCTAGGAGCTCCAGCCATAAGCCAGGCATGAGATGGCAGGGGTGTAGAGAAGTGAGAACGGGACAGGAACCTGGCCACGCAGCTGAAGGGAGAGCTGTCCTTAACTACCACGGGCAGGTCGGAGGGGCTGTGGCAGGACCGGGAGCTCAGAACGTGGGCCTCCCAAAGGCTCGCAGGTGGATGTCCAGGTGGGACCTCAGAGAGAGGTCTGGCTGGAAATAATAAATCCGGGAGCCACCAGCCCACAGATGATATTTAAAGCCATGACACTTTAATGATGATGCCCGTGGGCTTATATTAAATGTAGACAGAGAAGTCTACGGCTTGGGCCTTGGGAGACAGAGAAGGTCTTACCAGGGGCTAAAGAGGAAGATCCAGAAGGGGCACATTCCAGGAGCCTGCGGACTTGGGGGCTTCAAGGGGAGGGAGCGATAGTGATGTCACGTGCTGCTCATGGGGCTGTGAACACCGGCCAGGCAGCTTGTATTTAGTGGGGCCTTTGGGACAATCAGTGGGATAGCTGGGCTAAAGCCTGACTGAACAGCGGGCAGACTGGGGATGGCAGGAATGGACACATGATGATGTTTTGGGGACCTCTGCCATGTAGGGCAGGAGAGAATGTCGTGGCAGCTAAGGGTGGGGAAGGGGTGGGCCCCAGGGTGTGCTGCGTCTTCCTTATCAGGATGGATGCTGACGGGGATGACCAGCAGAGAGGCACAAGCTGTGGGAGGAGGATTACTGGGGCATCCCCGTGGGCAAGAGGTGAAGCAGAGGGGCTGCCTGCCACGGGCGCTCACCTGAGGTCACTCAGTAGGCTGCTGGAGCCCCTTTCACTGCTTCACCACTTCCAGCAAAAGCCAGAAGGAAGGCATCAGCTGAGAACAAGGATGAGGGAGGAGGTGCTGGAGAATGAAGGGAAGAAAAGATTGTAGAAAGTCCCGAGAGAGCAATGACAAGAAACGACTGCCAGGCAGCCGTGTTCCCACTTGGGGCTCATGGTCATGAGTTAAAGCTGATACCAAACAGTACAGTTGTGTGTTTCTCTCCAGAATTGTGTGGTACCCTTTGATTTGATAACCCTACTCTGGAAAACTCCCCTGCAAGAGTGAGCCAGTTAGAGAAAAAAATCCCTGTGCATCTTGAGAAATGGAAAGGGAGCTGAGAGTTGTAAATGGCTGCTTGTGCCGAGGACTTTAAACGCATCAGCTGATCCTCACAGCAGTCCTCTGAAGTGCCCCCACTTTACAGGTGACAAAACAAGGCTCAGATGGATTAGTACTTTGTCAGTGTCATGAAACTTGTAAGTGGAAGAGTTTGCCCTTAAGTTAGGTATCTGCTTAACTCAAACTAATTTTATAAGAATAGAAAAATAGTTAAATCCATTACGAAGTGCTGTGCAACCATTGTTAAGTGTGGTCATGTGGGGAAATGTAGGAAAATAAAAAAACAGATGAAACTGGATACACCAGAATTATTAAGAATGTGTACACGGACTAGGCAGAAGAGAGACAAATGAAAAGTTTAGTTATGATGGCAGAATTTGTTTAAAAAAGTAATATTGAAATTGACATAATCTTTTTAATTTTTTTTAATTCTCTTGTTTTTTGTGAAAAGGGTGTAATCTAATGTATTTTGGCTGTATTTCGGAATGTATTAAGCATACCCCTACAAACTTTTAGAGCTGTCACATCACATCTGGCGCATCCTCTGCTTTGTCCCCACCTGCCCCTTACCTCCTGAAAGCACCCCCCAATGGGGTCCATCACCAGCAAAATCTCCTGAATACTTCCCTCACGCTGCAGCTATTGGGTCCAGCTCACGGTCCCTGGGAGGATGGGATGTGCCCCCCGGCGTGCATTCTGACTCCTTGTCCCTCTTTATATATATGAGAATGAGCATAACATCTCATACTCAGCTGAGCCTTTGTATCTCTGCCCTCTTTGTACCAGGCCCTGTGCGTCCAATATTGGCTGGAGAGAAACACACAACTGTACTGTTTGGTATCAGCTTTAACTCATGACCATGAGCCCCAAGTGGGAACACGGCTGCCTGGCAGTCGTTTCTTGTCATTGCTCTCTCGGGACTTTCTACAATCTTTTCTTCCCTTCATTCTCCAGCACCTCCTCCCTCATCCTTGTTCTCAGCTGATGCCTTCCTTCTGGCTTTTGCTGGAAGTGGTGAAGCAGTGAAAGGGGCTCCATGTTAAAATTCCTTCTGTTTAACATGCATGGCTGTATTGCTTCCCAAAATACCTGTACCAACTTAGATTTCTACCAGTAGCCTATGTGCTTCCTAGTTGGATCACAATCTTGCTAGCACTGGGTACTTTTTAAATTAGACAATTCAATGGGTATTAAAAAGCATCTCTTGCTTATATTAAGATGAAGATCAGTGGTTAAGTATTTGAATTTTTCTTGTGCAAATAACTGTAAAATTACATGATTAATATACTTGATATAGCTGGAGTTTCTTCTAACCTCTGGAGACATATAGATCTAAGAATCTATTGGACATTTATACTTTTAAGTTCCATTACCACCAAATTCAACATGTCTCAACTTGGGGAAGCA